CCCTCGGCCCCACTCCGCACACCCCCCCCCCGCTCACTCTTCTCCGCCTCAGCCCTCCACTCGTCCAGCGCGCGCACCACCGCCGGCATGATCACGTTCTTGAACTCGGGCACGTTGAGGGGCACCTTGCCGCTCGTCGCCGCCTCTGTGTGCTCGCCCGCCGCCGCGGCCGCCTCGCGCGCGGCGCTGACGAGCATCGAGTACACTGCAGACACACACTGGATGACGGGGCCCTCCACCTTGGGCGGCACGAGCCCAGGGCGGAGAGGGCGGAGAGCAGTGTGTTTGACGGCCCAGACAAGCAACGTGTGGCGAGCATGAGGGGTTGAGACGCCTGGCGGCGGCGTGCGCAGTGTGCGTGTGCGCGCGGGCCGTCCTCGGAGCGTCCGCGCTGGGCGAGGTGTGTGTGTAGGTGTGTGTGTGTGTGTGTGTGTGTGTGTGTGCGCGCAGCAGGGCGGCCGCAGTTGGCCCACCTGGTCCATGGCCTTGACGGCCATCAGGCGCAGGCCGCGCTCGGGCGACACCAGGTGGGGCTGGTAGCCGTCCGCGGTCCGAGTGATCTGCGGGGTTCAGGTCAAGGCGGTGCCGGGGTTCGCCGACGCACGCGGCACCGGGAACTGCTTGGGACTGGCCTCCGCCGCTGGGCGTCTTCGCCAGCTGCACTCCAACAAAAGCCGGAGGTGTCGCCCCCTGGGCACGCCCCGCAGCCGCTGACGCAATGTCGTTCATGCTGCTGGCACAGCCGCCCCGCCCCTGCCACAGCCGCGGCCACCGCGAAGACCCGCCGCTCCAAGCCGCGCTTTGGGCCCCGGGCCTGGTAATATACTTGACACCCCGCGCCCCCTGCCGCGCCGCCTGCCCACCTTCTTGACGCTCTCGATCTCAAACACCTTCTCAAGCGGCAGCTTCTGCACGTTGCCGGCCAGCCCCTTCTCGCTGAAGAACGCCTCCTTGATCTTGTTCGCCGCGGGGGACTCCTGCGGAATCCGATTGGCCGCGATGGCGGCGCATGGGGAACTGCATTGCATGGCAGGTGCCGAGGTGTGCAGCAGCCAGCCCAACCACACCTCTTCCGCAAATTGCTGGCGGCTGCGCTGCGCTCGCCACTCGCGAGGCCTGCTGGAGTGGGGAGACAGGGAGCGTGGCCCTGCTGGCCGTCCCCGCGCTCAAGGCGCGGCGCGGCGCGGCGGCCCTCACGTTGACGATGTTGGTGAAGGCGCGCTCAAAGCCGCGGCAGAGCTCGAATACATCGCGCAGGCCAGAGGGCGCCTCGCCGAGCGTGGTGACCGCCTTCTCCACGGAAATGCGGCGCTCTGTCAGGCGCTCGATGATCTGGGGTGCGCGGGCGAGGGCGCCGGCGGGGGTCACCGGGGCGGCAGCTGCGCGAGCAGGCCTGATCAGCAGCCCAGGGGCGCGGAAGGCCTGGCAGCGCCGCCGGCGTCGTCGGCCCCTGGAGACGCCGCGCAGGATACTTCGCGAACCGAAGGCACAGCACAGGCCCGATGAGCGCCACAGCGGGGCAACTCCCATGCAGCGCAGCGCGTTGCTGCGCCATGCGCAGTGCGGCCCCTTGTGCTGCCAGCAGGCCCTTGATTCATTTCAAATGCACCCGGAACATCAATTGATATTGATCAACCTAAAACCGGCTCCATGCGTGGCAGCTCCTGCTGTGGGCAGTCGCTCAAGGGAGTCGGGCCTTTGGACCCAAGTCGCACCTGCGTGAGCGCCACAGTCGGTATCTCCACCTTATCCGCCATGCTTTCAGCGTGCGCCCTCTCGGGGCTGATCAAGCGGTCCAACCAGCTGAGCTACGAGCGTGCAGATCGCAAAGCAGCCTCGGGCATGTAGAAGTCTACAGCGAGAGCTGAGTCCTGACCCGTCGCAAAAGTGTTAACAATAACGTGCAATTGAGAGCTGTCACCGAGTGCGCCTGGGCCCAGCGCCTCGACGCATATGACATACCGCAGCGAGAGCTCAGAGCTGCTGTTGGGGTACGGGGCCATTCGCTGGCGACGACTGTCACAGAGTGCGGTGTGCAGTCCCAAGTCGTGCTGTCTTGATGTGAAGGGCCAGCGACATGCAGGCGGCTCTCACGGCGACCGCCCACCAGACTCGGCAAATGACGTCACGCCCTCTCCCCAACCGCCCCCTCAAAATTCATTGACGGCTAGCCGGCAAAAGCCCGCCCTCCTTTACTGCACCTCCTCCTGCATCAAGGCCCACCGCCCTCGTTAACCCTGCGCCTTGTCATCTAAGCCGGGAGGCTGCCGGTTACACCCCGTACATTTCCCGCAGCCGCATGACCAGCTGGGGTTCTAACCGCCGCTCCATCTCCCCCCACTGCGCCGCGTACGCCGCCTTGAAGCTCTGCATGATGCTCGTCATGTCCGCGCGCAGCTGCTGGTCCGCTATGTGCCGCCAGCTGGCGAAGGCCGCTGCGGGAGTGTGGGTGGGTTGGGTTCGGCAAGTGGTGACGCTGAGCCAGGGGCGCTACATGCAATGCAGCGGTGAGCAGCTCTGGGCGCCTTGCCGGGCTCTGGTCTGTGCATGGCCCAGCCGCCAGCATGTATGTGTGTGGTGTGTGTGTGTGTGTGTGTGTGTGTGTGTGTGTGTGTGTGTGTGTGTGTGTGTGTGTTGCCAAAGCTCGTTCCACAACCGAAGCTACCAGGTGTCCCAAACACCGCTCATGCCTCGCGGCCAGCTGCACCGCCAGCAACCTGCTGAACCCCAACAGCACATGTCCACCAACGGACAAAGCATGTGAGCGCGTGCTTGCGCGCTCACACACACATACACACACACTCACAAGCACGTGCCCAAACACACAAAAACACGCCCCCCCCCCACACACACTCACACACATGCACGCACACACAAAAACACCCGCACGACACCCACAAACACGCCCTGCCCCGTACCTGCTAGCTGCGGGAACGACTGCCACGCCGCCTCCACGTTGAGCGGCACCAGCCTGCACAGCCCCCGGAACGCATCCTCCTTCTCCACCTCGTCCCGCACCCCGCGCAGCGCGCCACACCACGGGCTCAGAAAGTGCGCCAGGTGCGGCGCCAGCGCGCCCGGCGCGGCCGCCGCGGCGCGGCCGAGGGTGATGGCCGCGTTCTCCTTGAGCCCGTGCGTCACGCGCACGCCGCCGGAGAGGATGAAGTGCATCGCCGCGCTCACGCGCTCGGCGGCGGCGGCGGCGGCGTCCGGCGGCGCGCGGCAGAGCAGCTCGCCGAGCGCCCAGGCGGCGTTGTTGGCGGCGGGCATTGCCTTCTCGTTCAGGGCGGGCGCGTCGAGCTGCGAAAGCGCGAGGCCCACCCACTGCGGCAGGGCCGGCAGCAGGTGGCTTGGGCAGCCCCTGCGGGCCGGGCCAAGCGTGAAAGTGCGGGCATGCGCGGTCAGCAGCAGTGTCCGCGGGACGCAGCTCATCACAGCAGCTCACCACGCAGCAATGAGATATGCGTGCGCTACAAGGACGCCGCTCGGCTTGAGTGCGACGCGAACGGCAGACGCCGCGCTGCCAGCAGTGGGGGCGATGCGTGGCTTCATGCCCGCCCGCCTTGGCCAGCAGCGTCGATGCCCTAATCTGGCGCGTCCCTGCGTCCCGCCCTGCCCGCCTCACAAACGCGCGCGCGCACACACACACACACACACACACACACACACACACACACCTGGCGAGGTCCCCCATGAGCGCAAACGCGCTCTGCCGAACGTCCGGCGCCTCGTCCCTGCACGCGTCCGGCAGCGCGGCCACCAGGCGCGACGCGGCGACCAGCGGCTCCGCGCCCGCGCGCAGGGCGTCGCACAGGCCTGCTATCAGGTCCAGCGCCGCCATGTACGTGTCCGGCTCGTAGGGCACGCCCTGCGGCGGCGGCTGGCCGGCGGCCTGCGGCGCGGGAGCGGAGGCAGGGGTGTAGGGGAGGACAGCGGGCGGGGTTGAGCCAGGAGCCGCGCGCGGACGGCGGCGGAGAGACATCGGTGCCACGGCGCGGCGGGTGCCAGAGTCCGTCCACCCTGGCCCTTGCCGGGAACGCGCGCGCAGGCAGCCAACTCGCAGTCTGTTGTGCGCGCGCTCACACACACTCACTCACACACACACGCACTCACTCACACACACTAACACACACATACACACACAGCACGCACCTGTGCAGCCTTGGCCTCCTGCATGAGGAGCACGACCTGCATGGCCCCCTCAAACACCGGCTTGGCGAACGCCTCGAAGCCCCCGCGCATCGCCACTGCCAGCGCGCTGAACGCCTCCATCACGGGCGCGGACTCGGGCGCCGCGAGGCCCTGGCGCGACCAGCGGTCAAACAGCTGCAAGGGGGGGGGGTGATGCAAGATGGGGTGGAATTTGGGGTGGATGGGTGCGTGAGCGTGAGGCACTGTGCTGAAACGAAGGGCTGCCTTTGCTTGGAGGTGACACTGACTGCTCAGGGGCATCTAAGGCGGCAAGCTCGATGATAATAGTGGCACGGCAGCCTGTTTCTCGCTCATCACCACTGACGCCGAGCCGGCCGATTCAATGCTGCGTCTCTTGCACGCTCTTGCACTGCAAGCTTGACGCCCACAGCCCTTGCCACATTGCGTTATGCGGCCTGGCGCCGCCTCTAGGCACCCCCGCGCCCAGCGGTTTCACCTGCGGCATGAAGCGCTGCGCCAGCGCAGGGTCGCCGAGTGCGGGCCCCACCACCCCCGCGAGCGTGCTGAGCGCGTCGAGCAGCACGCGCAGCGTGCGGCGCCCGTAGTGCTGCAGCCCCGCAGCGAGTGTGTCCAGGATGGACGGCAGGTGCGGCAGCAGCGCCTTGCCGTTGGTGGCGGCAGCTGTTAATTTTTGTGTGTGGGGGCGGAGGGCGGGGCGGCGAGCAGTCGTGCAGGGGCGCTGCTTGGACGATGATGCACCCAATGCACCCAACGCCGCACAACCGTCTCCCGACCACAAATGCACACACCCGAGAGCGCACCCGCACCCGTACGCACACAAACGCAGACAAGCGCACATGGCGCGCACGTGCCTGCAGCCAGAGCCCCGCGAATTTAACCTCAACAACCTCAACCCACCGCCGCACCACCCTGCGACCCACCTGCGTGCTCCTCCATAACCGCGAGGGCGCTGCACGCTGACTGCTGCACCAGGCGGTTGCGGTCGCCCACGCGCGCCAGCATGCCGGTCAACGCCCGGTCAAACAGCTCGACGCTGGCGGGCGCCAGGGGCGGCGCGCCGGGGGTGCCAGGGGGCGGGCCGGGGGCGTCGGTCGGCATGAGGACCCACTGGGTGTATCT